TAAGCCATTAATGCTGAATTTGCATTTCTTTCAGTCAAGGACGTGGTGAGATAACGTGATTACTGTGCAGTAATAGATTTTCGATTTTAGACACGTATGTATAATGTTCCGAAAACAGATTTTTAATACAATAATACAAAGTTAAAAAAAAGTAAAAAAAATTAGCGGCGCAACAGAAAAGCGAGCTTTGTATAAGAGAATGAATCGATTTTTATGGGAGAGGTTCAAGAATATATATCTCATATATCGATCTCGTAAAATTCATAAATGACAGATAAGAAAACGTGGGAAATTCTCAATGTATAGTAATCTCGTCAAGAGCTTATGACGAGAAAGGAACGCGCGAATTCACCGCGACTCGTATGCTTTTCTCAAGTTAATCCTATCTATGACGTCGGCGTCGTCGGGCTCGTAAATAAGCAGTTGTTATCGAAGAGGAGATGTGATCTTGCGGCGGTGTGTGCATCTCTCTCTCTCTCTCTCTCTCTCTCTCTCTTTCTCTCCTTCTCGGCCATCGATCCAGCCGTAAAACACGCTCTTTGGCGACGCGGAATAAATTCCGCGAGCGAAATTACGATGAAATATATTATTCCGCGGGCGGGCGGCGTTAATCCTCTTCTGGTTCCGTTTCGTTTAATTCGCTCAAGCGAATCGAGTCGCGCGACCGCTTTATCGCCTCGCACGTTCTCCGACGTGCCCTGACCATCCTTATATCTCGAAAGACAAAGTGTGTACGGCATATCGCGAATGCACGGCGGCGCGAGTATGCGGTAGCACGGCGGGCCGCGGCATTAATAATTCATACTCCGCGCGGAGTGGTGGGGTTAAGGCTTCTGGGCGTTATAAATATTTAGATCGTCACGGAGATATATATCGCGCGTTCGGACGCCCGGGGAACGAAGCCAGAAGAAGACGAAGAACTGCAATGAGGAGGTACAGCGAGATGACGAGATACGTGGACCAAACTCCAGGGGGAGAAAAAGAGAGAAAGAGAGAGAGACAGAGATTATTTAGGATTATTTCCGAAGAAGCTAAGAGAATATTAGAGTTTTATGCGATAACATCTAATAATATAATATAATAATGATAATAAATATAATTAATAAATATAATGATAATAAATATATCTCGTCCGAGATCTCTGGCGCATCAATTTTTATCTGCGAATTTTTTTATTAGAGTTATATAATGTCGGGGCGACAAATCACTTGTCCTAAATGTTATCGAGTTAAATATATACGTTAATATGAGCGTATAAATTTTTAAATGATATCATGTCTGTATGCGGTTACTGGTGATGTCACGCGTTTAACACTCTTTCAAGAACAGACTACTATTGCTCGGATAAACACAATGATTATTGCAATAATTTTCTTACTTTACGTAGCACACAAGGAGGAATGGAATACTGTTATTACCGCTGTGATTATCGTCAGCTATAAACTGGTTTGATATGTTTTTTTAACAACGCGCGAATCATTGTTTATAAGAAAATTTTATTACTTACAATCTCTTATATTTTTGCAAAAATTCTCTCGAGGGAGAAACATTATCTAGCGTTCTCTGAATTTTTTTTTTTTACACCGTGCGAGAGAATTACAACTTGCATGAATATTATGATTAAGAGCCTGAATATCTAGACTGATTCTAATTATGTTCGATGATTTCCTTAATTATATAGAAGCGAAACGGGCAAATATCAATTTAACATCGCGTTCGTTTATATAAATCCATACGTCATAATAAAATCTTGTTTCTGTGACTCACGTGTGGTTTTTATACGCATTTAAGTAGGATAAAAATGGAATCAAGCTTTTTCAAAAATTAGTAGCAATTTTAGATTATTTTGATCTTTTTTCTTCAGTTTTTTATCAATAACGAGAAATTTCAATCTCTTTTTTAAATAAAAATTTAAATAAAAATATCTCATATTTTTTTACATCTTTTAAATTATGTCATGTAAATATAAATTCTGTAAGAACAGAAATAGGAAACACATGACTGAGAGAATGATCGAGTTAGAAAATTATATTCTCTTCGTTTGTATGTATGATGATGTATGTATTTTCATACATTACCGGTTATAAACGTGGTTTTATATTCGTTTAATTTTACGGTAAAGTATATACTCAATCGCCGTGGTAAAAGTGCAATGCTAATATCAAAACTTAAAAATGTATATATATATGCGCGAAGTGTTACGTGTAGACTATAAAAATGTTACAGCGCGAAACATCATTAATCATTGAATAACGAGTTTACAAAAATCACACACGTAACATACGCGTCTCGAATGGTGAGAATTTGAGAAACACCGCTCAGCTGATCGATGTATCATCGCAGTGATAACCGTAACACGTCGTTATAAACTATTTATATCGACTCGATAATGAACTCGATAAGTTGATTACGGGCTGCGGTACGGCTGCGAACGAGCGAGAGTGAATTTCAAGCCAAAGTTTCAGAGGGACAGAAATAGCGCGGCGAAAACTGTTTTCCCTCCTCGGAAATTCTCCTTGACGAAACATCGTCGAGAGCGTAACTTGTAGCTCGTCCGAGGCCTTTTCCACGGCTTACGCAATAAGAAAATACGCGTATGAAATAATAAATGCGCGAATGTGTGCGTTTATGCAATCGCGCAAGTGCATCGTGAGACTCTGAATTTCAGGATCGAGAGAGAATTTCTATTTTCCTCGCGTCTTTACACTTTTATCATTTATATATTAGAGAACTCTATCTCATTTTTTTACATTTTTTACTAACATCACATCGTTGCATCACTAACTTTACTGTCGTATTGATTTTCTCTTCAACGCGAGAGCGCATGTTTCTTTATTCCTTTCGATATTTCATTCTTTCGTGATCCCACGATAAATTGCTACCGTGACGCGACCTTTCTTATTTCCTGACCTTGGAACCTTGACCCCAGGTTTTCTTGCACAGCAATCGATTAATCAAATTGTAGACCTGAACTATGATATTGATTAATCGCCCAATCTTGATAAAACGTAGCAATTAATTAAGTGCCATTTTAAGTTAGTATCACGAAAGATTATTCGCACCCAATATAGGATCGGGACATCCAGTATATTGTTAGTTCGTAATCTATTAACTCTGCTGATCACTCTGAATTATTGGACATTAGTCAGCAATGCCAGCGAAGTATAATAAATCTCTATATAATGATAAAATGCTTATTTCCATCACGTTTTTAAATTCGCGACGCGCATCATGTGCATATTGCATACTTAATAATTTTTTGTGCTACTCGACAGTAATTGTGAGTTAAGTCGATGTCGAAAAATTAATCCATTTCAAGATAGAATTGATTGAGCATTTGCGAGTCTCATTGTACGGCGAAATGCTGATTTCCTCAAGGTTCGCAAGAATTACGGACTCGATTGCCATTGCATAATGCACGATCGATAATTCACCGGTTATTACAGTTTTGAAAAGTGTTTCCCTATTAAATGTGGCCCTCTTACGTCGCTAACGTATTAGAATCGTTTGGCATATAAGAGTGTAAGATCGATCGACGCGCGTTAGACCGACGGGTAAATTGAATTTCAATACGAATGAAATCACTCGGCGAAATGCACGCTTTTGCTCGCATCATAATCTGTCTTTTTGCCGCGCGCAATTTCATTTCCTTCTTCTCCGATCGATGTCGATCATTCCGATTTAATGCGGCACGGTACTTTCCGAGTTTTATTCACGTCCATTTTGCGGAGGAAAGAATCTGCTGAAGAAAAATGATTTCGTCTATAGAGGAATTTTTTTGATTTTTTCGTCTGTAGGGAAAACTTTTTTTTTTTCGTTTTTTATTTTACTTGTAATTTATCCCTGCTGCCTTTCCTTCTGTGCTTTCGGGTATCCCATATAGATAGATTAATCCCAGCGTGGAAGGAACGCGAGAGTAGATTGCGCTCAATTCGTTCAAAAGATTCGGTGGAAAACGCGTGCGGTGACGATGTAAAGGAAAATGTGATTCGATCGGTGATTGCGTTGATACGGAAAAAAAAAAGAAGAGAGAGAAAGAAAGAGGCAAACCGCGTGTGATAGAAAAACCGCGATAAATATAAAGAGAAAAGAAAGAAAGGAAAGAAAGAGAGAGAAAGACAAACGTAGAAGGAAAGTAGGAAACGGGGAAAGAGGGAGAAGAAAGAAGAGGAGAGAGGCGCGAACAATCGATCGTACCCGATCGGGTTAAAACGTTTTCCCGGTCGATCGTTTCCCTCTTCGCGGAAGGTTCGTCAGAGAATCGCGTTTCCCATTCCCGCCGTCTCTCTCCCCTCGAACTCGAATCTCGATAGATCGCCTCGACACTAGGCGGCCGACGCCTCCTTGCCTACTTTCTATCGCCCTGAAACGTATCCCGAGGTGCAGCCGTCTCGGTAAAATCCTCCGAGAGAAACGAGTTTTATGGTCGAATCTCTCACGGCGAAACGCGATGAAACGAGCGTAATTGCGCGAGGATAGTACCGAGATCTACTCTCTTTCTTTTTTTCCTTCCCTCGATCCCTTTCTTTCCACGCCGGCTAGAGGAGGAGAAGGAGCCATGGAAAACGAAGGAGTGCCGTTTAATCGCGGCGGCGAGCAATCGATCGATCGATCGACAGAGATGCGATCTTGAAATGATTCTTCTTGCAATCGACGATTTTAATATCGGCGTAGAAAATTTAGACGAGATTGTAAAGAGCGAACGGCTTAACTGTATTTCTTCTTGTGTAAAAAATCGCAGAAGTAAAAAGAAATTTAAGATTTCTTTTGTTAGATTAAAGAAAAGATTTACGAGGCAGATAAGAATAATGCGATTATTAATCGACGACTTACATATTCTCGTTTCTTTTTTTCTTTTTTTTTCTTTTTTTTTTTCTTTTTTCTTTTGGAAGGAAGAGACAAACTAATCGATCTTAAACGCGAGGCGATTTACGCGATCGAGATTAATAAAACGGAGACGGAGTCTTGATGATACAGTGGACCGTTATTTCTTCTTGCAGCACCAGCGCGCATCGTTTCGAGGAAGGATCGTTCGACGAGCTCGCAAAATAGACGAGAGTATCGTGCCCGTGCAAAAGAGAGGAAACGGCGAATCGGAAGGAAGAAAAATATAGATATCCCGTCGTTCCATCGCGCGCGCTGTTTATCCTGGGAATCGAGCCGAGCGCGCGGGCGCCTCGACACTCCGCGCGATTGCTTCGAGGCAAGAAGGATCCTGGAAGGATCGGACGGAAGGAAAACAACGTGCGCGGGACATGTACCGAGAGCCGAACAGCTCGTCGGGCAGCAACGCCTCCACCAAGGGCGACGAGGTCGAGCTCGTCAGTAGGTTCCTGGCGCCGCTCTGCGCCAGGGACGAGGCGGCCAGGAACATCGCCCTGGCCGCGGCCAGGACAACCGTCGAGGGATGGCTGGGCAGCGTCGGAAGTCCGAATCGCTGGGAGGACGCCAGCGACATCGAGGACATCAAGAACGCGACCGGCAAGTTTTCCGGTCAGGACGGAAGGTAAGTGTGTCACTATCCACCTATATAAAAATGCTCGTTATAAAAAGAAATAATCGCTTATTTTTTATTGATATATTCGATTTTATTGCATTTTTTTGCTGATTTTTTTAGTCGCGAAACAAGGAATATATTTATATTTCTGATTTATATAACATATTGTTTCTTTATTTAATCCGTGTTTATTGCGTAATTAAAATCACGGCTTTCTTTTTTTTATCTCTTTGCTTCTTTTATATCTTATCCTTGATTGCTAATAGAGATACATGTAACAAAAACATATTATTTTGGGTAAAATTATATTAAATTGATGCAAACGAAAATAATCGATTTAATTTCTGTTTGTTTTTTACTCAGCCTGTCGCTATTTTTAAAAAATTTATTTATTCTTGTATTTGTGGATAAACTGGATCAGAGCATGCTGTTAGATTGCGGTATGATTTTGATTATAATTCTGTTAAATTTTAAACTATATATATGTTCGCCATTGCATGCCTTCATCCATTCGTATTTAGGTTTAATTGGATCCGTTGTAATAAATTCATGATTATCCTATTTTCTGTCTTGTTGAATAATTATGGGCGTGTCGCTGGGATATGTTAAAATTATATAATTTGTTGAACAACTTTGTTTGCCGGTATCAATTATCAATGTCATTAATTAATGATTGATCAATCAACGATTTATCAAATAACAAATAATGTATAATACACATTGTGTAATAAATATTTCCTAAAATAATTTGACTTTGCGTATCATAATTTTGATCGAGCGGACATGTTTAATCGGCGCAAACATTTCGTTCCGTGCACTCTTGGCAAATTATTGGTTCTGGATTTAATATCAGCATTCAGTCACGCAAACACGTAAAATCCGACGTGAACGCGATACTTAAATAATCACGAGCGGTGTGCACTCTTTTGGTTCTGGATTTAATATCAGCATTCAGTCACGCAAACACGTAAAATCCGACGTGAACGCGATACTTAAATAATCACGATAATCACGAG